TATTCTCTGATCTATAGAAGGAGCGACTCATCAACTACAGTTTCTAATAATGCCGCATTACGAATCTCTGGTGAGTCTAATCACATCATCAATTCATCGAACCAAGCTACTTTCTGCTTTCAGTATCAGAAATAACTCCATCTTACCTTCATAGGTGTCTTGCATAAAACTTTTGGACCTTACGCCTTTCTTTCGAAAAATTTTCTAATAATATTCGATAAATAATAACTTTCTTTAATAAGTTTTAAAATATAATTCCCTTGCTATATGAGTTTGCCATTAGCTTTCAATGCCTCCAGCAAGAATTACATTCTCCCGTTCCCATTCCGGATTTACACAGCGTAGCGCCCCGTCCCTTGAAGGACAGTTTAAGCAATCCAAAATTATACGGTACTTCAGCACCTGGAATGTATTGGTGCAAAACAGCACTACTTTGTTGGTTCGAACAAAACCAATTTTCGAAAACCAATAAATATACCTGTCATTCGTCATATATACCAAAAATAGTCCCTGTTATTATGAATTTGCCATCACACTGCTAGTTTTCAACACAGCTGCTACGAACAACATACTCGCTTTGTCATTTCTCCGTCCCTATTTAACAGTAATCCAACAAATCCATAAAAATTAGGTTCATTTTTTGTATATATGCCTACAGACTGGCGTATTTGTTAGTGTTCAAGCATGTTTTCGTTCCCTTGGACTGCAGGTGCCAAAATGCCACTGTTTACATAAACTGTAAACGTAGGCTACTAAGCAAGGATACAGTGCTGAAGTATAAATAGTGAATCCGGAGAAGTGACAGGAGAAAGTTTGTGAATAATTTCGAGTTTCGTTTCAGGTCCAGTTTCGTCGTGACCATTCTTGCTGCTTGCTGAAATGAGAAAATTCCACGATTCTGGCAGAAGGAAACGGTGTATTCACAATTTGCAGTTGGTAAAACTAGTTCAATGAAGTGAATATAAAAAATTAAGGTAAAATTAATGATAGCTAAAACCAACTTAAACAATAAACTAGCAGAACAGAATGCAACAAAACAGTTTATATCATAAAGCAGCACAATAATTATAAACAAAATACCATAGGAACAGACTGAAAAGGATGAAGTGGAAAACACAAATTCGTCAACCGGTTCCTCTGGGTAATGCATTGCTCGAATGTAAGTAATAGTAAATTGGCACAGTCAGAAATTTTGTTGCAATTGCTGTCGTCCTCTGTTAAAAGCATAGGTAGTAAAGGGAATCATATAGTACTGTATATTAGATTTACAGGTCTGGCAAGATCCCAAATGAGTGAACGATAGACAGTCGTGTTCAGGGTATGAAATCGTCAGTTCAGCGTCTTCTTATTTTCCGTTTCCACTTGGTTTTGTTCATTGTAGCACCATTGTTTCTAGAAAGTCACCATTCTATCTGATGGTCTCGTCGCAGAATCGGAGTTTCCAACCTCAATCCGTTGTCTAAGCACTTAATACTTGAAGTATTCATTGCTATGAATCACATCGTGAATATCGAACATATAAATTGCAAAAAAGCCATTAATCGTACCAGGCGATTATGATAATATTCCAAGATATTTCTCACCCTGAACATGAAACAGTTTTCATTTGTTTCATAATGCTGAAGACACTGAGTACGCCGCAAATATCCTTTCATAGTCAATAAGGTTATCCTGCTGGTATCAGTGCAATAAAACCATGGACAACTAATCAGTTACCCACGAACTTTAAAGACAAAAGCCATATTAGGCTGCAAAGTTATATTGCATATATACAGCTTACGTGTAATTCATTTTATGGCTGACTCTATAGCTTTTTGATACAAAGCTGAATTCGAGAAGCAAAATAATTCAAATCGGTTCGGCTACTTACTCTAACAGATGCCCTATAATTGAAAGACATTTTCTGTCTTTATCTAAGACACATCAGTCCAGAAGTGACTTCAACCCTAGACTCTCTGGTTCAGTGTAACTATCATACTACAGTTATTAAGCATGACAGTACCGTTTCATTCATAGTTTGGTACAGTTTCATTTGTTTTAACTTTTATGTTATTTACTTGTCATGTAATCATATAACGAAAGATTTATCGAAGAATAGATTTAATGGCGTACTGAATCACCCACTTGCTCATAATTGCCTATAGATGGCCATTTATGCACACAGCGGTTCCACGGCATTGGAGCACATGCAGTGACAGGTGCAACTCCAATCATTCTTCTTGCTAGAGCCATCTTGCGTTCATCACGAACGATGTTTCAGGCGCTCCTCATACACTATCGCATAAACATCATACGCTGTTCGCAAGTTTGAGAATGTCAAAGTAATGACTAATCCAAGAACAGATTTCAGTGGAGAGGTGTAGTATGATGGGAAACTCATCTTTAAATGAATGATTTTATATCACTCTCCACAACCGTTACTGTTAGTAATTAAAACTAAAAAGTTATTTTAATACTTCGCAGTGCCTCAGCTTTAAGAATCCAACGCAGTGCAGAGTACTAACTTTTCATGCCCTCACAGCAATGTCTTTAAAGTACAGAATTTTACAAAGAAACATTGATCAAATTCTCACGATGTCGGTTAATTTATTCACGCTGGTATCACATTTACTTTAAAAATAGTTCGTCAGAATTTTATGCTCAAGATTTACCAAACTTCTGCTGTGCGGCTGATGATGAACAAAAAATATTTAACAAACACAGTTCAAAGCAGCATCAACAGAATTTCTATATTTAGAAGCATGAGAATAAATCACTTTGTTCTGACTGAGGCTATTCGCTTCGGTGTTTCTGAAGAAACTCCAGTCTTCAAATGACGCAGGAAATTTCTTCGAAGTCGTAAAGCTGGCCCGTAGTCGGCAGCCACCTATCGTCAATGATATTTACTTGTTATTTATTTAGTATGTGACCATCGATGGTGGTATGAAACCCGAATCCCCTAAACATCGCAGTGTCACTCTGCCATTCGGCCTGATGACTAGCCACGTAACGCTGCAGTGCGGCACCGACATTCTTAGCCACGCTTCCGGTGGTAATTGCAGCGCCCGACAAACGAAGTAGCGAATAACGTTGGCGTGGCAGATGACCAATTCATACGAGTCTGTCAGCTGGTCAGCGTGAGCCCGATGAATATATCGCCGAAACGCCGCCTCGATCCTCGGTCCGTCTTCATGGTACTATGACAAATAGAAACTTAGATGATTACTGCATAACAGTATTACAGAGTTATTACCTTCAGCAAAGATGATGTCTCCTTATTGCAAGGTTCCGGTTTTACTGGACTACCCTCGTTCAGAAGAGGGTCTTCTCTCACGGAACACGTCAGTTTAAGTACATCGTTAATCAACTTCGCTGTTTCGACAGCGCGTGTTAACGAAGAAGACGTCAAGGAAGAAAATGGAATGTTCAGGTCTTTCAAACGATGTGCACAAACCAAGGCTTGCTGTTGACCTGAAACATCATCGTATCAGACGTGAACACTGACCTTTAGCCAGGTATTTTAATAATTTACGCTGTCCCAAAGAACACGAAACAAACATGGATTGTCAATCCACTAAGCAGTTTCTGAAGCCAAACAGTGAACAAACCACTAAAACAAGAAATGACTGTGAACTTCCCTTTCTTTGATGTTTTGATAATTAATCTGATAACTGCAATTAACTCTGATAAAAACAAAAACTTTATGCACATTTAAAATTTATAGCCCTTAACTATGAACCAATCAATTAGTTACAATTCAAACGGGCCCAGAGTCAAAAGCCTCAAATTATATTTAATCTGTGAGAGGTAAATTTCTCGTAATCATATACATATTTGGTTTTGAATGACTTGATCACCTACTTAAGGAATGCATATTTTGACGTTTATACTGTGGCACATAATAAGATTAGCTCGTCGAACATCGTCGTGATAAACAAATGATTGTTTCAGAGAAAAAAAGATGAGATGCGTGTAGCACTGTAGCTGCTCAAATAAAATAAAACAGTGGCCGGTTAAATTCCTCAGGCATCTAGAAGTAAGTTGCCGGTGCAATACGACAGTAACCAGTCGTCTGATGGCCGACGCAGATTCGATTTCCCTTGAAGAATCGACCTCGCTGACTCTTCCAAAGTCCTGGATGCAACGCCGTCTCAGCAAAGGCACCAATATCACAACCTACCAGATCTGTATAACCTGAAATGCAGCAGCGCGGTTACATGGACATCGCTGCATCAAGGAGCTG